ATAATAATAATAATAATAATAATAATAATAATAATAATAATAATAATAATAATAACAACTAGCTGAAAGGGCCCGGCGTTGCCCGTGAAAAAAATGTCGAACAAAAAATTTCGAGCCGTTTGGATGGCTATACGCAACATATGTATATATATACGAATGTCTTGTTTTATTATATAGATAATAATAATCACTGTCAATCATTCAATCTGAGATTTCTGACTTGAGTAAATTCAGGGATGGGAGACAAGCCTATGGCGGTCTGCCATGGACCCTTCAGTACACTCTAAGATTTCTAATGATCATGTCGGAAACATTATTTTGATATGTTCAAGATGGTTTTGAGATTGAAGGATAATCAGTACTTTCAGGAGACTCATCTTAGAATTACTAATAATGATGTTTCAAAGAGTCATGTCTAGTTCTGTACCAAAGCTGGACATTTTGAATGAGTTTTAAACCCGAAAACTTTGGAGATTTGCGCAGTTTTAAATAGGTTAAACTTCCTTTGAGAACGAATAAGTTAAGCTCATTCTGTCCATTTAAAAGTCGCAAGTTTAGGTTGACCCGTTCGGCTAAATTCATTTCATTTATAAGTTTCCAGTTGATAAATGAAACTTGATGGAGCACAGTATACACCTATAGAAAATTTGAAAACGTCAGCTTTATGATGAGCTTGCATAACAAAGTCAGACTGCGACAGACAGACAGACAGACAGACAGCAAAAAGAATCGAATAAATTGTACAGCTGAATCAGACCAAGAAAACAATTATATTCTGCACTCCATCCAGATTGGCCATGCATATTTCTTTATCAACTTTGTTCAGATTGCATATTAGCCTTTCGGGGGGGGGGGGATGCAGATAATGCAACATAGTTAAATAAAGTGAACAAGTAGAGAGTGAACAGAAAAAAAGAATTTTATGAAAAATTATTATCTGCATCTAAATGTATCTTTCAATTAATAGTCGCTTACACATTGCAATTTGTAAAAATATGAAAAAATACCAAAATTGTTAAAAATAAGTTTCCAGCTGAGGTTTACCTGTTGTTGATCAGCGGCCTCCTCGCTGCTGGAGGACCCAGCCGGAGACCGGGGTTTCTCAACCGGAGAGAGGTCGTCTATTTTCTGGTCTACACCGCCCACAGACACCCAGGATTTTCCAGTCTCTGACAATGGTTCATTGTCGTCGTCCGGAAAGTCCAGAGAGCCGGCTACTGGTAGGGGAGGCTTTGTCGGGGCGGGGGTCTCCTCACCTGTATTATTAAAATTGTGAATAGTCCTATTTTCAAACAACAGTAAAATGACATTCCCGATGAAAAGTTGTAACCTGAAACAATGCTGACCAGACTTCCACAAGATATAGAAATAGGAATATCTGCCTCCAAATCTGGATCCGGCGGGGCGGAGAAAAGGTCAGAGAATCCCGCCTTAGCCGGAGGAGGAACTGCTGCGGGGAGAGCGGCAGATGTAAGTTCAGGGGCAGGTGGAGCGGGTCTAGAAGGGGGAGGAGCTGGTCG